CGCAGTCTCTTCTACGGCTGGAACAAAACTAATTAGGATAAAAACCTAAAGCTAAACTGTTTCCCTTTTATTCTGGACAGTGGATTTGTGGCGGTAATGCACTGAATTCCTTGTACTTCCTCTAAGCCGCAATGCCGTGGAGTGCTTTCTTCCCTCGTATCCGTACCCAACGAATTCGCAGGCATGACTAAACGGGTTACAGCGTCCAAGCCCACGTCCAGGTTACCCTCCAGCTGGCCTCACTTCTCACAACTCTCAGTGGACGGGTTCCACATGGCAGCGTTCCGAAGCAGCGCGGGCAGCCCCGCGCTCCACCCCGCCTCAGAAGTCTACTTCCTTTGGCTCCGTCCACCAGTCGCATGGGTGTCTATATCGCAGACCTCCCAGCCTCAAGCCAGGCGCGCATTAGTGATGAACCCTCCCCGCCGCCCGGCCGAAGCCACACAGCAGGCGGCCCCGGGTCCTCCACCGCCGCCACGACCCCATTCCCCAGGCGGCTCTTACCGGCGTACGGGCGGCGGCGGGCACCGGAGCAGGCGCCGCCGCTCTAACTCCTTCTGAAAGCGGAAGGCTGCGCGGGCTTGCTTCTTCGTTCCCCGAACTGGCGGAGCGAGAGCGGGGGAGGCTGGTACCAGGAGGCAGCGAGGTCCCCGCAGCAGCAACCTTACTAATCCGGATGCCATTGCAAGGGAGAAAGCAATGGAGGTCGGAAGGAAAAAGGTTGGACTAGTGTTCCGGTAACACATTCCCCCCCCCGCCGGAACTGATGAGTTGAGCGAGGCCGGGGCGGGGCCAGCTCGCAGAGGGAGGGGCGGCTGTGGTTGAGTTTTACTGCGCGTGCGCGAACGCTGGTCCTTGCCAAACCTAGGGATTGCTCTTGGTTGAGCAGAGCGGGAGGGCCATTTGGCTCCAGAAACTTATGAAAGAAGTTGTTTCTCTTCTTCCATCCTTTCTTTTTAAATCAAAAAGAAGGAAAAACAAAAACCAAAAACCTGTTTCACGTTCAGTTTAAAGAAAACACTAGTTCTCAAAAAAATAACTTCTTAACAACATATACTGTATTTAGTCTTAGTTCCAGACCATCAATCCAACTACTATTTATGAGCAAATATTTACCTGGTATGTCTCCAAAAGCCTTCCTTTCAGGAGCCCTGGAATAAGATATATTGATTTACCCAAAATTAAAATTTATATAAAAACAATGTAACAGTACAAACTTTTTATAAAGTATCAAAAAAAAACCCAAAAAACTGGGGGAAAGAAAAACATCAAAATAGGAACAGTGGGGTTATAAGGCGTTTTTTTCTTTGTCTCCCATTCTCTATTGCTTTCTTACCAACTGTTAATATAATTTTTTAATCTAAGATTAATTTACAAAGGAAGACTTGTCTGAATTCCCAATTTTGAGTTGCCTGTTGAACATCTAGACCCTCAAAGGAGCATCTCTTTCGGTGGTCTCTCTACTTGTTAACGGCGTCAGTGTCCCCTGCGATCTCCCAGACTGGGCTCCTATGTTTTCATTTGTTCCTATTTCCATAAACACCTTCTTATGTCCAGTTGCTAAGTCCTTTTTCAATGTATTAATATTTCTACAGCAGCCGCTTGATGGCTAGCCTTCTCTCTCTCCCAGGTTATTGTCATCAGCCTCCAAACAGATCTTAGCCCTTCCTATCTTAACCAGACACAGTTTTCCTACATTCATCTCCCTGAAACACAGACCCGAGCATGTAACTATTGGGTTGTCAGAAAAGTCATGATGTATTTTGTCTATGTTTTTCAAAGGTCATTTATTTATATAAAGAACAAAGATCAATCAATGATATATTGTCCGTTTTGTTCGATAAC